CTGCCTCCTTGTCCTGCCCACCCCTGCCCCCGCCCCACCCCTGCCCCCCAGTCCCCAGCCCCACTTCTCTCCCCTCCCCTGCAGCTGCAGCTGGAGAAGCTGAAGGGCGAGACCCTGGGCGTGGTGGTGGTGGAGTCGGGCTGGGGGTCCATCCTGCCCACCGTGATCTTGGCCAGCATGATGAACGGCGGCCCGGCCGCACGCTCAGGGAAGCTGAGCATCGGGGACCAGCTCATGTCCGTCAACGGCACCAGCCTGGTGGGGCTGCCCCTGGCCACCTGCCAGGGCATCATCAAGGTAAGGGGCCGCTCGGCCCTGTGCGAGGGACCATGAGCTCCCGCCCCGTGACTATGAGCATGCAAGCCCCCCATGACCCCTAACACGTGAGGCGTCCCCCCCTACCTGGACCGTGAGCACACAAGGCCCACCGCCGCACCCCGTGACCACGGGCGCGCAGGGCCCAGACCCACCAGCTGCTCATGACAGACTGGACGCTTGAGCTGAAGCCCAGTGCGTGGGACGTGTGTCGTGAGCAAAGTGCGGGTCCCAGAACCCTCGAGGACATGCTCTGCCTGACCCCGCTGCCCACAGGCTTTCTGAGGGTGGCCCCCACGGAGGCTGGTGGACGTCCCAGCTGCCCAGGCTGGGTCTGCAGACCCCGGTGCATGTGACTGAGCTGCACCCTTTGCTGGGACTCCCCAGGCTGGCACTGAAGTCTCAGTTCTGTCAGCCCCTTGTCCAGGCGGGTGGCACCAGATGTGGGCTGAGGCAGGTGTCCCTGGACAGGAGCCACCTGTGCCAGAGGGGCGGGCACAGGAAGGCTCAGGGCCTCCGTGCCTGGCTGCCCCCAGAGTGCCACAGACCCTGGCTCTCCTGTGGCAGTGGCTCCTGGGACCATCCCTCCCTGCTGGGGCCCGTTTGGACCTCGCTGTGCTCTGGGTGCTGGAGGAAGCAGCCTGCTCTGCCCACCCGAGAGGCGGCAGGCGCCTCCCCCGTGGTCGGGCCCTTGGAGTGACGCAGTGTCTGCCCAGCAGTGAGCGGCCCTAGACAGACATGGGGGCGGCCTCAGCAGGCCCTCCTGGGACTCGGGCTCTATAGGCCCAGCCCGACTCTGGGTCTTCCTCCCACCTCGCTGGACCCCCAGCTGTGCCTGGGGACGCCCGCTGCCATCAGGCCCTAGCAGGGCTGGCTGGCCACACAGTCGTCAGTGCCCCTGGGGTTCCCTTGCCCAGCACGAGAGGCTATCGTAGAGCGTGTGGCTTTGTGGGAGCGTCCCCACGGTCAGCCGCACGGCAGCCCTCCCATGAGCCCACCGGCTCTGCAGGACAGTGCTTGGGGCTGCTCCAGGGGCTGTGGGTCAGGATGTGGCCAGTTGGGGCCCAGTGGCCCCGGCGGGGAGGGGCACAGCTCTGCCAGAGTGCGTTCTGCCCTCGCCCCTGGTGGTGGGTTTCCGCCCTGCCTAACACTGCCCCTCTGTGCAGGGCCTGAAGAACCAGACGCAGGTGAGGCTGAACATCGTCAGCTGCCCCCCTGTCACCACTGTGCTCATCAAGAGGCCAGACCTCAAGTACCAGCTGGGCTTCAGCGTGCAGAACGGGATTGTGAGTGCCGCCCGGCCGGGGCACTGTGGGGAGGGCCCAGGCAGGCGTGTCAGTGACTCCCGGGGCAGGGCCAACTCTGGCCAGGCAGGAGATGGGCCCTCGCAAGCCCACCCCGGCACCTTCTCGAGGAAACCGTTCTTGGCAAGTGTCTGCTTCAGAGGGGCCACGGGCGCTCTGGGCACAGGAGTTCTGACCCACGTCCAGGTGGCCCCAGACTGGCCACATAGGCCCAGACAGCCACTCCTTGACTGCCCATGTGTTCTCCAAGGTGGCCAGCTGACCCCTTCAGGACACCTGCCGTGTAGGCTCTGCAGGCGGAGGCAGGAGGGCTGCCTGGAGGAGGGGGCACTGGACCCAAGTGTCCTGCCAGAAATCCGTGCCCGACCTCGGAGGGGCTCAGTCCAGACTGCCCCAGGGTGTGCGTTGCCAGCTCAGTCCCTGACCTCGTCTGAGCCCAGCTGTGGGAACGCCAGCTGACCCCCTGGCCCCAGAGGAAGGCTCGTGGCCTCGGAGTGGGCATGCAGGGCCTCGGGGCCACACTGTGAAACCAGCCCAGAACGGATGGGCCAGGAGAGGTGGGGGTGGCCGAGGACACCCGGGAAAGGGTGTTTCCCTGTAGCAGTCAGCACAGGGCCGGGCCCGCCCTCGTGGCCAGGCAGACTTGCTGTGTGACAGCCAGCTCTGCCCGCACTGCCTTAGCATCTGTTGGGCGCTTGGGCTGCCAGCTGCTGAGGAGGGGCACGGGCAGGTCGGTAGACCTTGCCGAGGGTCTTCAGGCCGTCCGAGGCTGCCCTGCCATTCCTGCCCCGTGCCGGCCCCCGCAGCTCAGCAGCCCACAACAGACGTGGGGGGCTGGGGGCTCCTGGTGGTCCAGTGGGTGCACAGCACAGACAGCAGTGGGCACCTGGCAGTGAAGGGCACTGCCCAGTTGGGAGCCCGGGCGGGGCTCGATCTCTCCGGGTCTCCGAGGTCGGCATGGAGGCAGGCGTGACTGCTCAGCGCATGCTGCCGGGCAAGGCCTGCCGCGTGTCTGCCTGGGCGCTGGCTGGCCGGGGCCTCCCTGGCCCTGCCACGCCGCCCTGTATGGCCTAGGCTCAGGCAGCCACGTGGCTGCTTAGGGGCTCTTCCCATTCACGCGCCGTGCCCAGGCCCAGCCGTGTCCCTCCCACCCTGGCCGGGGCGGACTCAGCACCCACGCCCTGCAGGCAGCCTGGGGTACACAGCCTTTCCTTCCGGCGGCTCGGGTACTCGCGTCCTTCTGCTGCCCCGCCTGGCCTGGTCTAGACTGGGAAGTGCGGGGCCCAGTCTCCCCTGCCGTGTTGCAGCCCTGGGTCGCAGGAGCTGTTGTTGTTGGGGCTGTCATTCACAAGCAGCCCTGGCCAGGATGGGCCCTTGGTCTGTGCCCTCCCCAACCACATGCAGCACCTGTCTGGAGCACAGAGGCTGGCACTGAGAGGCTCAGGAACCATGGGTAGCCACACAGCCAGTGAGCTGGGAACAGCCACAGGGAGCGGCAGGTCAGGTTTATCCTGGGTCCTGCTGGTGGCCGAGTCCTGGAGGGGGGTGGGGGAGAACCCACCTGCAGAGGCGCAGGCCGGGAGCCTCCTTCCTCAGGAGCGCCTCTAGAGAGGAGCAGGTGTCGGCGTAGCATCCACAGCCCTGTGGGAGCTAGCTACACCTGCTGTGAAGGCCGGTGACTCCTCACCGGAGCCCAGGATGCGGGCCTGGGGCCTTCCACGAGGCTTCATCCTGCCGGTGCCACGTAACTGCACGGCGGCTGCCTGCCCACTGACTGGGCACGGGGTGGCGTGGACTGGGGCTGACCGGCCTGTGCTCTCTGCCTAGATTTGCAGCCTCATGAGAGGGGGCATCGCCGAGCGGGGTGGTGTCCGCGTCGGCCACCGCATCATCGAGATCAACGGGCAGAGTGTGGTGGCCACAGCCCACGAGAAGATCGTCCAGGCCCTGTCCAACTCGGTCGGAGAGGTGAGGCCCATCAACGCCCAGCGGTGCCTCGGCCTGCCTCCCCCACGACCCGCATGCTTGGAGAGCCTCTGGGATGAGCCCCCTGTGGGGAGCACGGGCCCTGGGCTGCTCCCGGGACCTCTGAGGGCCAGCGGGCACTCACTGGGCTGCCCAGCTAGACGAGCAGGTGCCATGGGCTGACCTGTGTGGCTCTGTCCTGGTGGGCCTCAGGTAGAGACCACGGGGCCTGTTTGGCACTGCCCACCTGCCCACTGCGGACCACCCTGAGCTCTGGGAGCTGCGCTGTGGGGGCCCCCTGCCTGTTGTCCCCCTGCCACAGGGCCTGGCCACTTGGCTGTGGCCCCCGGCTTTCAGCACCGTGTCTGCGGGCAGGGTAGAGCCATGGCTTCCTCCAGTCCATGCAGACAGGCCAACTCGGGTGAGGGCATGGCAGAGCCCTGAGCCCAGCACATGGGGAGGCCTCGCCCCGTGAGGGCGTGTCTGTAAGGGTCTCACAAGTGGCTTGGTGTGAGGTGTGGGTCTGAATGACTGACGGATGTGAGTGGGTGTGTGCGAGGGGTCCACTGAAGTGTGTGGGCTGGAAGCAGAGGGCCCAGTGCATGCCGCAGCGTGGGGGCAGCAGCGGGTTGCTCTTGGGTAGAGGCTAGGTGGCACCATGAGCCCCTGCAGATGGCGTAGGTGAGAAGGTCCGGGGGCCTGCGTGGTCCCCAAGGCCAGCAGCCACACCCTACGGCAGAGCTGTCCCCAGGGAGGGCCGGGTGTGGGCCCTGGCGCCCAGCTCTGCGTGCGGCCGAGGTGGAGTTGTGTGCCGTCTACCACGCTGAGCACATGGGGAGGTTGTCACTGATGACACAGCAGCTCCGCTGGCCCTGGGCGAGTGTCAGAGGCGCAGTGGGCAAGGGCTCCCCGATGAGGGCCGGCAGGGGTATGCGGGAGGACGGGCCTGGCGACCTGGGGTCGAGGCAGGCCACCCAGGGAGTGTGCTGCCCTGGACGGCAGGCACGGAGTGGGGCGAGCTGCCTGCTCCCGCTCCCAGGGGCCCACGTCTCCCTCCCGGGGCTCTCTGGGCAGGAGCACAGTCACACCTGCCCCTGGGAGCCTCACTCCCAGCCCAGGGGGCGCGAGGGAGCCAGGTCCAAGGCCGTCTGCTCACTGACCACGAAGGAGGGGAGTCTTCTCCCACCCCCCCACCCCAATGCAAAGCCCTTGCTGGCGGGCTCCCCAGAGGCCTTGCCTGGGCGGTGTGTGTGTGTGTGTGTGTGTGTGTGTGTGTGTGTGTGTGTGTGTGTGTGTCTGCAGAGAGCCTGTGCTCAGGCCTGGCGGCAGCCCAAGCTCAAAAACTAGTGCCTGACCCCCGAGGTGGCCTTCCGTGTGGTCTCCAGGGCCCCGGCCATGGACCCTGCCTCCGGCCTGTGCAGCCAGGGCAGGGCAGGGGGAGGAGGCCCCGCCGGGTCTGCGAGCTCCTTGTCACCCACGTTGTCACCTGGGCTTGGCCCTGCGGGGTCATCGGGTGCTGGGCTCACGGGCACATGAGCCTGTGTGACCCCAGCTACGTGTGGTAGAGGCCACGGGGTGTGGTGGCTAGGTCATCCCGAACGAGGCCAGTCCGCGGCTCAGGTGGCGTGGGCAGCGTGTGCTCTCGGAGCCCGGGGACGGGCGGCGGCCAGCTCAGCGCTCTCTTGGCAGATCCACATGAAGACCATGCCGGCCGCCATGTTCCGGCTCCTGACCGGGCAGGAGACCCCGCTGTACATCTAGCCCAGTGCCTGCCGCGGGGTGGACACCAGCACCGGGACTGCCCTGGCCCGCGCCTCGCCGGGACACTGCTCCCGAGGGCGTGCCCTCGTCCCCACTTTTTTCTTGCCAAAAAGGGGTCCTTGTGAGCCTGTGGACCCTCACCCGGCCACGTTCGGACTGCTGTCCTCGCGCCTGACGAGGGCCCGGCCCTCAGTGTGGGCGCAGCATGCTGTCCCAAAGCCGTGGAGAGGGGACACGTATCTCGGGCAGCCCTCTGGGCCGGGATATCCGGGGTGCCTGGGGGCTGTCACTGTGGGACCTCAGGACCGCAGCGAAGCCAGGGGTCGGGAGGCGAGACTCGGTCTTCCCTGGAGGAAAGGTGGTGGCCATGGCGTGGGCCCTTGGCACTACTGTCTGCCCGTTCTGACTGTGGATGTCCCTGGGTGTCCCTCTCTCTCCCTGGGCCACGGGCACGCGCCCATACCCGCTCCCTCACACGGAGAATGGATGCAGGCCCTCGGTGTGTGTGGCGCTGTGGCCGGGCAGTACTAGGATGTGAAGGTGGCGCCAGGCATGGATCCCTGTGCGTGCCCTTCTGTCTGGAAGTCCCCGTGGCCCAGGCCCAGGGTAAAACGCGGACACTCAGGCAGCGTGCCCCACAGTCCCCGCCCAGGGCTCGGGCGCCGAGGGTGACCGTGTGTTGCATGCTGCCGGCCACAGGACTTCGGTCCCGTCGCTAATAAACCTGCCTCCTGATGAACGCGTACGTGTGGCTGGTCTGTGGGCCGTGCCCGGTGCCTGTCCTCATTCCCCTCCATCCTGTGCCCGTGCGGCTGGCATTGTGGGGACCCGGTGTTGCTGAGGGTGGAGCGCTCTGCCACCTCCTGGAGCCCAGAGCTGCAGACGGCTGGCTAACGGCACAGGGACAGCAGGGTCCTGGGCTCCCCAGGTCAGGGTTACACTGCTCTGGGCAAGGCACGCGCCACGTGGCACGGCTGGGCCCGCCCTGCTGCCTCACCACCCTGCCGGGACCCGTGGAGCTCTGCGTGGCCCGGCTGGTGTACTCGTCATATGTCACTCAACTTTCTTGGGGCCACTACCTTGGTGCAAGCTGGCTGGGAGGCCCGGGAGCCCGGCTGCGGTCAGAGGCCTGGACTCCCTCTTGGCCCCAGCCGTGAGCTCCGCGAGGCGGCCCTCCCCTGCTGGCCCTCTCCCGGGAGTCGCAGAGGCCGCACCCCGGCAGCTCCGTCAGGAGAGGGGGCAAGGCTGCACCCTCCTGGTCGGTCTCCCCATGAAGCCACGAGAGCAAAACGAAGCACTTCGCTAAGAAACAAAAACGCCAGCCAGGGATGGCCACCCCCTGGGGCTGTAAAGGTCACCCATATAGAGCTGAGGGCAGGGGTGCAGTGGTAACAAAACCAGACGCGTGTGGGCGAGGTCTCGGGTTCGAGTCCTGGGACCACCCTGTACGCGCCAGGTACTCAGTGTGTGTTATGTGGCCTGGCTGAGACGGGGACTGCACTGAGAAGGCCCTGCTTGTGGGGGTGGGATCTGTATCTTAGGACAAATGACACTGTTTAGTTTTGCTCTAGGGCATGTCAGTCACTGGAGGCAGAAGTGAGAAATCACCCCCAGGGGGATGGCTACGCTGCAGTCCCTTCTCCAGTCTCCTCTCGGGATTTGGGCATGCACACACACGCACCAGGTGTGTTTCCCAAGCTGCCGGGTCTGGGACCGGGACCAGGACCATGCAGTCGGCTCGGTGGGATCCAGCTGCCTTGACCCCACATCACTGGCTGGCCTGAAAAAGCATCCCGAGTAGCAGAGGAAAGAGGCCTTCCTCAGGAGCCCGGCTGTGCTATGTGCCTGACCAAGGTGAGTGGCCAGGGTGACACCGGGCTGGTGGGAGCTGCTCTCCAGAGACCCAGGGAGTACGCTGGACG